TCCGCCAGTTCGAATTTGAATCGAACTAGCGGAGCGCTTAGTTCGAACTAGGAAAACCTCATTTTACGAGGATTAAGCCTAGTTCGAACTTACTAGTTCGAATTAAGGGGTGTGTAGCCCCTTAATTCGAATTAGTGGGAGGCTAGCCCTCCCCAGGTTTCCCTGGTGGCCACTCTGGCCAACACCAGGGAAACTCTATGCCCCCCTCCCGGCCCCGGACCTCTTAAAGGGGCACGGGCTGGCTACGGTGCCCGTGCCAGGTGCAAGCCTGCCAGCACCCAGCCAGCAGACCCTGCACCTGGCACGGCACAGAGCCCCCCACCCGATGTCCCCCAGCCCACCCCCTCTTCCCGGGACCAGGCTGGCGGCTCCCGGGAGCTTGCCCTGGACTGCAAGAGGCGGGCACCTTCCTGGTATAGTGCGGACATCATGGACCTCGTCCACGATCTCCGCACTAGGCACAGGAAAGTGGCCGGCTAGGGCAGGAGAGCTGCCAGCCTGGCCACCCAGGAGCAGGTGTGCATGAAAACCAAGGGGGTCCACTGAGCCCCCCGACCCTGAGCTTACAATGGCCGTCCTGGGTCAGACCAAAGGTCCATCTAGCCCAGTAGCCTGTCTGCCGACAGCGGCCAACCCTAGGGACCCTGGAGGGGATGGACCGAAGATAGTGACCAAGCCATTTGTCTCGTGCCATCCCTCTCCAGCCTTCCACAAACTTTGGGCAGAGACACCACTGCTACCCCCTGGCTAAGACTACTCCATGGACCCAACCTCCATGACTTGATCTCACTTCCCTTTAAACTCTGTTCTAGTTGTAGCCTTCACAGCCTCCTGCAGCAAGGAGTTCCACAGGTTAACTCTTTGCTTTGTCAAGAACAACAACTTTCTCTTACTAGTTTCAAGCCTGCTACCCATTCCTTTCCTTTGGTGTCCTCTAGTCCTTCTTTAGGGGAACTCAGGAAGAACTTTTCTGAATCCACCCTCTCCACCCAACCCCTGCTTTTAGAGACCTCTATCCTGTCCCCCCTCTATCTCCTCTTTTCTAAGCTGAACAGTCCCAGTCTCTGTAGCCTCTCTTCATCTGGGACCTGTTCCCAACCCCTGATCATGTTAGTTGCCCTCCCCTCTCCCAGCCTTTCTCTTCCCCTCTCCCCCCTCCTTTTCCCAGTCTCCCCCAGTTTTGTTCAATAAAGACAGATTCCATTTTTGAACACAATTGTCCTTTATTTGTACATCAAGAAAAGGGGCTAGGGAAGGGTAAGTGGAAGGAGGGGAGGGAGGAATGGGGTACAAGCCCCCGATGGGGAGGACTGGGCTGGCTCTGCGGGCTTCTGGGGGTGGAAGCTCTCCTGCAGCCCCCCCGATTGCCCCCTCTCCCCAGATGGCAGCCTGCGGCAAGTGCAGCCGGGCTGATGGCCGAGTGGTGTGATGTGCCCAGTGTGGGCACTCCGGGCCCTCCAAGCCAGGACTGGTTTTCAAGCGGGGCACCCCTGAGAACTGTCTGTCTGGGGTGGGAGTCGGGACCCTTTAAGCACAGCCCTCGGCTAGCCTGAGACAGCATCTCCACGCTCTAAGTCCTCCTCTGATGCCCTGCCGTCACTGCTTCCGGCCATCCTTAAGCCCGGTTCAGGGTCCACTTAATGTGGACATGCTAGTTCGAATTAGCAAAACGCTAATTCGAACTAGTTTTTAGTTCTAGACGCGTTAGTTCGAATTAGCTTAGTTCGAATTAACTAATTCGAACTAAGTTAGTTCGAATTAACGTTGTAGTGTAGACGTACCCTAAGCTAGGGGGAGAGGTAGATACGCTTAAGGGCAGAGATAGGGTCCAGAGTGACTTAGACAAATTGGAGGATTGGGCCACAAGAAATCTGATGAGGTTCAACAAGGAGAAGTGTAGAGTCCTGCACTTGGGACGGAAGAATCCCAAGCATTGTTACAGGCTGAGGACCAACTGGCTAAATTGCAGTTCTGTAGAAAAGGTTGGATTTTAGGGAAAACTATTTCACTAGGAGGGTGGTGAAGCACTGGAATGGGTTACCGAGGGAAGTAGTGGAGTCTCCATCCCTAGAGGTGTTTAAATCTTAGCTTGACAGAGCCCTGGCTGAGTTGATTCAATTGGGATTGGTCTTGCCTTGGGCAGGGGGCTGGACTTAATGGCCTTCTAAGGTCTCTTCCAGCTCTATGGTTCTATAATTCTGTGATTTTTTTTAAATACACCATTTTCTCTGCATTTCTTTGACTGGAATTAACCTGGTGATGTCCCCAGAGCTTCTGGGGTCTGACATTGGCCCTCTGCCAATACAGTGAAGTTCAGTTTCCAAAAGAATAGGCTTGCCCAAAATTGTACCATAAGTAAAGTGACCACATTTTGGGAGAGTGCTAAGAAGTCTGGAATACAATTGGTTGAACTCAGGTCTCAGTTCTGTAGTGCACACATCAGAGCCCTAGGTTCTCAAACCGAGGAGTTGCTGTTTGGAAGTGGAAGGGTAGAGTACGAAATACACTTCCTCTCCATATGCCAGTAGTTTGAGCATGTGTTCACAGAACTTACAAATGGATTAAGGAAGGAACTCAAAATCTAGTTGGTTTTATAGTTCTGATAGAGGAAAAATAATTCAGCTGATGATCATTTATATTTAGCATTTTTTAAGCAATTTCTGTTCTCAAAGCTGTGTATAGACATTAACTAATCCCCACAAGACCCCCACGGTGCAGAGAGCGAAGAAGAATGAGCTCTATATTTTCAGAGTTAGTATGTTGGCTCTTGTGCACAGAGGTACTACTGGCTGAGCTCTCAGAGCAAAGTGAAGCCAGGGGTTATTAGAACTGGTACTGCTCGTACTTACTGCTTAAGAACTAAAGGCAAATAAGCCCTTAAGGCCATATTTAGCGCTGAGCTCATTTCAGTGTTCAAGGTGGCTCAGAAACTGGCTAAACTTCTCTAAGAGCTTAGGTGCCTTAATCATTTAGGAGTAATGGATATTAGAATGCGTCCTTGAGGAGGGGTCAGTGCACAGCCCTATCAATCAACGACATGAGTGTCAGAGAAATAGTGGCTGCCTGTGGTGAACAGTATCTGTGCATCTGTTCCACATGCATGGGACATGCAGAATCTGTTCCAGCATTAGAATAGAACAGAGTGCTGACTCCTCTGTTTTGGCCCAGTTCTGAGGGGTAATGTGGAGTAGGGAGGACCATGACCCTGCCCTGTGCTACCTTCTTGGCCTCCTACTTCTAAGCAGGGTCAAGCAGTCCCTCTACTTCCCAAAATAAAGAGGCACTTGCATAGTCAGACAGCAGATGAGGCATAACCCTAAGGATTTTTTGTCAATCTGGGCCATAGGCTCTTTTAAACTTTTAAGTTTAGTTTATGCCTTTAACTTTGAGTAGACTTGAATATTTCCCTAAGCTTAACTTCAGGTTCACCTGTGCTTTGCTCCTCTAGCCCTCACTGGGTGGGGAAGTGAACACCATTGCTACCTTCACCTTCCCATTTGTGACTGGCCGCAACACCTCTCTCCTTGCAGAGATTATGAAGAAAGGAGAACACAATCTGTTCTGCAGATGAGACATATAACCAGCCCCCAGAATTGAAATGCCCTAATGAGAGAATCATGTACTTCACAACAGAATGGGAACAAATTCCATGGTAACAGTCGCTACATTCTGCCAAAATGTTGATTTATTCTGCTGCCATGAAATTCCTTTCATTCTCATCGCCCCACCCCCATACAAACCTCAGTGTGGCTCCAAATGGAAAAAGTGTTGATATTTTTGACAGTTATTATTGAGGATGGGCTCTTTTGCTTTGCTGTCCAGGTTGCCAAACTCAGGCTCTCATAATGCTTTCCAGACAGATGGACACATTTTTGCTAGGGAAGGGGAGAGCCTGCAATTGATTTCCTTGACTCGTCTTCTCAGCTTTCAAAATTCTTGGCTGTTGAAGTGTTCTCAGGCAGCCTAACCCATCAGCCAACACTGGCTTCCTGGCTACAAGCTGGACTTCAGGTCTGGCTCCTTGACCTCAGCTTGCCTTACTCAGTGGAACAGTGCAGGGAGTGTGCTTTATAATCAAATCTGCTCCCACTTGTGGCAAACGCTGGGGAGCAAAAGGCAGCTATGTGTAGATTTTGGCAGAGCAAGAATTCAGAAAGTGAAATGTTTGGTAGCAGATTGCAGCAAAATAGCAAATTCCACTGCAGAAGTGCTAACTTCTATAGCACCTTGGTAAAATACCCCATTTTGTAGTTGAAGAATCCTGAAGTATCAGAGTCCCCACTAGAGATGTTTGCATCTCTCAGAAGCTGTTGTTTCTAGCTAGCTGTGGACTGGGGAAGACACTATTAAATCAGTACATTATTACACACCGTTTATATTCTCAGGGCTTTGCTGCAACCTGAAGATCTAGAGCAATTTTATTTAATCTAAGTGGAGAATTTGTGGGTCAGTTCTGCAAAAAAGGGGGAATTTGGCACGCTATATGGGGTTCTGGTTTTAATAAAACAACTATAATAAAAGCTCAAACACAGTATGGGTCTTTGTCCTACTCTGTTGTCTGGTGCACAAAGAAATTTGTGAGGCTGCTAATGCTGCCAATGCTGCTGGTTAATGGATTGCAGACCATTATTTTCAATAGTAGAGTCATATGGTTTTAGATGAAGAGGTCCTATCATAAAATGTATCAGATGTAAATTGTATGTCACGTGTCAGTTAATGTTGTTGTTGAAAACTTGATTTTTTTTGGAATTTCGTTACTGTTACATGTTTGATTTCTCAGCCATAGAATTGTATTATGGTTATTTTTGGGGCTGTGTTGAATGTGTTTTAAAGTGTTTGTAGATAAATATGGTAAGAAGGGGAAAATATTTTTGTTTTGACTGTGACGTTAATTTTATAGCACAAGATCTGTGGTCAGAAATAGATAATGTTTAAAGCATAATAAAAATAGAATCTTGTCTGTTTCCAAGTATTCAAAGATTATTCCAATCTCCTTGCAGGCCATAGAAAGACATCTTATCAGAAAGTCTAACGGAGGGCTGACATTCATTGGGGAATGGAAGAATGGGCACCTTGAGAGAAAGATGGGACATCTCACCTGTTTTGCTGGGGGAATGTTTGCACTTGGAGCAGATGGTTCCAGAGATGATAAAGCTGGACATTATTTGCAACTTGGAGCTGAGATTGCCCATACATGTCATGAATCATATGACAGAACAAGTAAGAGAGATTATCAATCTAAATATGTTAGTTTAACAGGACTCTGCACTGTAGAAATACATAGGAAAGAGAGGTGGTCAGAGTGTTCAAGAGATTTGAAATGAATGCATGAGCCTGATCCTCCTCTAACTCATATAACTTTTATGCCAATGTAACTTTCTTGACTTAATTGGAATTACTCCTGATTTAAGCACCAATATAAGTGAATGTAGACTCAGGCCTTAAGACTTTATATATGGTTATCTACGTCTATTCCTGACTTTTCTAAATATAGTTTTGTATGTGTATCACTCAGATGATAAAACTACATTTGAGAGCACTGGTACATTGGGTAGCATTTGATATGTGCAATTTACACAACTTTTAGCACAATAATAACTGTGAATGTACTCCACAGAAAACCACCAGCCATTTTGAATAGTAATAACTATTATTCACCCTCACCCTCTGGTAACCTAAATGAATGTGTGAAACTGTTAACAATTTGAAGTCACACTGGTACATTGCTGTTTTCTGTGGCTCCACTTGTCATGCCAGGGCCCTCCCTCAGTCTCTGGCTGAAATGAACACTGATGCATTTTTGCTGGCCATACAAGTTCTCAAACAGGTGCAGGCTGTGCAGTAGTTCCAACTATTTGGTGAAATTGTGAATCAGTTTGAAAACAAAGATGCTGAAATGTGTAAAAGGCTATTAAAATAAACTTGAAGTCTTTAGGGCACTGGGACTCAGTAGCACTGTATCATTGTACACCGATAGGGACATTTATCAACCATGGTAGTCCAAATAAA